CCGTGTGTTTTCAATCGATTTTAATTATAAATTATTGTTGTGATGCTGAATTAACACACGGAAAGATTTTTTTGCTAATTAATGATCATATATCCGCATATTTTTCCTAATGTCTTTAAATTATTGAGTCTAATAAGATGTGGGCACATGATTTAATTCGATATATCAAACTCGGTTATAGCTTTAATTAAGCAAATATTCAAATTAGGCCTATAAGGCGACGGCCGAATTTTATTGAGACATATTTCGATCAATTTGTCTCAATCGACTTACATATTTATAGACCCGTATGAAATCATATACATTTTGAGTAGGTTAATTTTTTCAGCACTTGTCATTATAATGTTCTAACTCCTAAAACATTTCTTATTCTTTTAATTAGAATATTTTTACAAGGGAAAATAAGTTTGGAGTGAATCTAGGGATGTTTTTCTTTGTTGATATTGATACATCTACGGTTGGTTTCAAAAATCAACTTTTCAATATTCTCGGCTCTATTCTAGAGAAAACATGAATGTCCTTTTATCTAGTAATTTTTTCTCTATTTCCGGCTCTCAAATTTGTACAAACAAAGAAACTCTTCCGGATCTTGATTGGCTCATAAATTCAATTTTTTAATATTCCTGGCACTTGATTGAATTTGGAATTTAAATTTTGATTATTCCCGGCTCTTGATTGGCTTTAAAATTAACTTTTTGGCTATGGAACATTTTCAAAATCTTGACATGGTTATAAGTAATTGTTCATATTTTTGCTAAAAAATTATAAGCTTGGGAATATTGTAAATATTAGGTCTTTTAGAGTTTAACAAATGCTGGAAATTTTAATATAATTTGCTCAACGGTTACCGAGCAATTGAGGTTTGAAGATTTTGAAATTAAAATTCAAAGGGGTATGCCTTATAGAAAAACTCAATTTTTTTATTTTCCACTTTTGCTCAATTCTGACTTTACCAATCGATAAAGCGGGACAAAATTAGTAGAAAACAACCCTAACATAATTTTCAAATGGCCATTTTAAACAAAACCAAAAATAAAATGGAAATCTTATTTTTGGCTCTGGAAAATTTTCAAAATCTTGATATGTCTTGAGCAATTGCTCATCTTTTTGTTGAGTTCCGAGCAAATTGTAATAAATTATATATCATTGGAAAGAGAAATAAATTCTCTATAAATCCGTGCAAAATTGAGTTCGATAGCTCCAAAATTTTTTAAGTTATTCAGCCTCAAAGTTGACTTTTAGTCTAAATTTTGTCAAAAACTTCAAACTCAATTTTCTCAAAAACCATAAAGCTAGAAATATTGTAAATTATAGATCTTTTAGAGCTTGATGAGAGCTACAAATGCTTGAAATTACAATGTAATTTGTCCAACGGTTACCGAGAAATTGAGGTTTCAAGATTTTGAAATTAAAATTCAAAGGGGTATCCCTTATAAAAAACTCGATTTCTTTATTTTTCACTTTTGCTCAATTTTGACTTTACCAGTCGATAGAGCGGGTCAAAATTAGTGAAAAACAACCCTGACATCATTTTCAAATGGCCATTTTAAACAAAACCAAAAATAAAATGGAAATCTTATTTTTGGCTCTGGAAAATTTTCAAAATCTTGATATGTCTTGAGCAATTGCTCATCTTTTTGTTGAGTTCCGAGCAAATTCTAATAAATTATATATCATTGGAAAGAGAAATAAATTCTCTATAAATCCGTGCAAAATTGAGTTCGATAGCTCCAAAATTTTTTAAGTTATTCAGCCTCAAAGTTGACTTTTAGTCTAAATTTTGTCAAAAACTTCAAACTCAATTTTCTCAAAAACCATAAAGCTAGAAATATTGTAAATTATAGATCTTTTAGAGCTTGATGAGAGCTACAAATGCTTGAAATTACAATGTAATTTGTCCAACGGTTACCGAGAAATTGAGGTTTCAAGATTTTGAAATTAAAATTCAAAGGGGTATCCCTTATAAAAAACTCGATTTCTTTATTTTTCACTTTTGCTCAATTTCGACTTTACCAGTCGATAGAGCGGGTCAAAATTAGTAGAAAACAACCCTGACATCATTTTCAAATGGCCATTTTAAACAGAACCAAAAATAAAATGGAAATCTTATTTTTGGCTCTGGAAAATTTTCAAAATCTTGATATGTCTTGACCAATTGCTCATCTCTTTGTTGAGTTTTGAGCAAATTATAATAAATTATATATCATTCGAAAGAGTAATAAATTCTCTATAAATCCGTGCAAAATTGAGTTCGATAGCTCGAAAAGTTTTCAAGTTATTCAGCCTCAAATTTGACTTTTAGTCTAAATTTTGTCAAAAACTTCAAACTCAATTTTCTCAAAAACCATACACCTACAAATATTGTAAATTACAGGTCTTTTAGAGCTTGGTGAGAGCTTCAAATGCTGAAAATTTCAATGTAATTTGCCCAACGGTTACCAAGCAATTGAGGTTTGAAGATTTTTAAATTAAAATTCATTCCCTTATAAAAAAACTCGATTTTTTTATTTTTCACTTTTGCTCAATTTTTACTTCAGCAATCGATAGAGCGGGTCAAAATTAGTGAAAAACAACCCTGACATCATTTTCAAATGGCCATTTTAAACAAAACCAAAAATAAAAAGGAAATCTTATTTTTGTCTCTGGAAAATTTTCAAAATCTTGATATGTCTTGAGCAATTGCTCATCTCTTTGTTGAGTTTTGAGCAAATTGTAATAAATTATATATCATTCGAAAGAGTAATAAATTGTCTATAAATCCGTGCAAAATTGAGTTTGATAGCTCGAAACGTTTTTAAGTTATTCAGCCTCAAAGTTGACTTTTAGTCTAAATTTTGTCAAAAACTTCAAACTCAATTTTCTCAAAAACCATAAAGCTAGAAATATTGTAAATTATAGATCTTTTAGAGCTTGATGAGAGCTACAAATGCTTGAAATTACAATGTAATTTGTCCAACGGTTACCGAGAAATTGAGGTTTCAAGATTTTGAAATTAAAATTCAAAGGGGTATCCCTTATAAAAAACTCGATTTCTTTATTTTTCACTTTTGCTCAATTTCGACTTTACCAGTCGATAGAGCGGGTGAAAATTAGTAGAAAACAACCCTGACATCATTTTCAAATGGCCATTTTAAACAAAACCAAAAATAAAATGGAAATCTTATTTTTGGCTCTGGAAAATTTTCAAAATCTTGATATGTCTTGACCAATTGCTCATCTCTTTGTTGAGTTTTGAGCAAATTATAATAAATTATATATCATTCGAAAGAGTAATAAATTCTCTATAAATCCGTGCAAAATTGAGTTCGATAGCTCGAAAAGTTTTCAAGTTATTCAGCCTCAAATTTGACTTTTAGTCTAAATTTTGTCAAAAACTTCAAACTCAATTTTTTCAAAAACCATACACCTACAAATATTGTAAATTACAGGTCTTTTAGAGCTTGGTGAGAGCTTCAAATGCTGAAAATTTCAATTTAATTTGCCCAACGGTTACCGAGCAATTGAGGTTTGAAGATTTTTAAATTAAAATTCATTCCCTTATAAAAAAACTCGATTTTTTTTATTTTTCACTTTTGCTCAATTTTGACTTTACCAGTCGATAGAGCGGGTCAAAATTAGTGAAAAACAACCCTGACATCATTTTCAAACGGCCATTTTAAACAAAACCAAAAATAAAATGGAAATCTTATTTTTGGCTCTGGAAAATTTTCAAAATCTTGATATGTCTTGAGCAATTGCTCATCTCTTTGTTGAGTTTTGAGCAAATTGTAATAAATTATATATCATTGGAAAGAGTAATAAATTCTCTATAAGTCCGTGCAAAATTGAGTTTGGTAGCTCGAAACGTTTTTAAGTTATTCAGCCTCAAAGTTGACTTTTAGTCTAAATTTTGTCAAAAACTTCAAACTCAATTTTCTCAAAAACCATAGACCTAGGAATATTGCAAATTACAGGTATTTTAGAGCTTAATGAGAGCTATAAATTCTGGAAATTTCAATGTAATTTGCCCAACGGTTACTGAGCAATTGAGGTTTGAAGATTTTGAAATTAAAATTCAAAGGTGTGTAAAAAACTCGATTTTTTTATTTTTCAGTTTTGCTCAATTTTGACTTTACCAATTGATAGAGCGGGTCAAAATTAGTGGAAAACTATACCCTAACATCAATTCCAAATGATTATTCTGAAGAGGAAAAAAATTAAAAAGGATTTCTTATTTTTGACTATGGAACATTTTCAAAATCTTGACATGGTCATAATTAAGTGCCCATATCTTTGTTAAATTTTGAGCAAATTTAAATAAATTATACACCATTGAAAATAGCTTTAAATTCTCTATAAACTCCTGCTAAATTAAGTTGGATAGCGCCAATAATTTCTGAGAAATTTAGCCGCAAATTTGAACATAATCAATTAATCAAAAATTCCTAAACTGTTGCTTCAACCCTCCTTTGGGTTAATTAAAAATGTAACCCTTTTTTTAAAAAATCTTTGAAAATATAAACAATATTTTGTTTTCTATTATTTTTCATTTCTATATTATTTGAATGATCCGATGTAAACGCACCCAAATCTAGCCAATGAAATTTCTATAGTTGACATTATAAATTAAATGTTTCTATATGAATATAAAATTATATATTTTATTTCAAATCCCCGTCACCCTTTCCAGGAAATGTATTGCATATGAACTATTATAAGTTTACCTACTAACAATTAGAAATTGAGTCAATTTAGAATCAAAGTCTCAATTTCCAACACACTTTTCTAAGAGTTTAGTTGAAAGTTTTCTTTTTCGTTTTTCTCAAAAAAAGTAAGGGCTTCAAAAACTATACAGCCTGATATAACATATCAAAGTGTAATGACGTCATTATACTCTAAATATCATAAAAGTGAAGTAGAAACATCCTTTTACCTAGAGAATAGAAAATTTTGGAATTATTCCGAAAAAGTGTAAGGACTTCTCATTTGAAAAATTGAGTAGTTTGTAGGTAGGTACTTACTTTATGACTGTCGCCAAAAATCGTGATGCTGCCTTTGGGGGCAAACCCCCAAACTTCTTAATAAATTACCAAAAAAATAAACACAAAAATGTTCTTTGAAACACTAGTTACAAAAAAAAAATTATCGCGTCGCGCGTATTGTTCAACCAGAGTCTATATGAACATTTACCCGCCAAAGTCGAGTTAAAATGGTTCGCATATAACTGCTGCGATATGCAGGAGAGATGTAACTGGGGACAAAAACCGAAACCACGTTGCTATGGGAAGGTCCATTCAGGCACGGGATCCTGCGTCCCGGAATCCGGAATAACGGGGCGGAGCCTCGTCCCGAAACGGACAAAGAGGAAGCATAGCGTTCGCGATTGCTAGGAAAAAAGACGCAAACAATAGGCAATTCTTTTCCGGTAAACCGGATCTTTCTTAAATAGTGGGGGATATACACACAGTTTATGGCTAAACGCTAAACACTTTTTTTACGAGCCGGATTAAAGCAAGATGGGTTTAATAGATTTGTTTGTCCGGAGACTAAAAGGAAGAAAGATGGCGCGGATTTTCTTGTTTTTTTTTTTTGCTTAAGAAGGGGCGCACACGCACCCTGTGCCCTGCTTTTTCATTATTTAGAAGCAATTAAGACGGCCTTTTGTGTATACTGATTTTTCTTATAAAAATGGGAAACAATGATAATTATAATTCATTATAATCAAAGTTCAAAGTGTTCAACATGTCGTACATTTCATATAAATTGGAAAACTTTATCAGATTCTTCAAAATTTGTAGATTTTAAAGTCATTATTAAAGTTTCGTTAGTCTTAAGCCTCAAGACAATTTGAAGTTTTCAAAATCTTTGCAGTCTTCACTTCAAGTCAAAATCCTTAAAGTAATCTTAGATCCTTAATCAAAAATATCTTATAGAATAAGTTTTCAAAGTCAAAAGTTTCAAGTCATGTCATGATTCTTAAGACACTTTCAAGTCTTTGAAGGTTTCTCATTTTGAAAGCCTTAGAATGTTTAGGTCTTCAAATTTATCAGAATATTACTGGGCTTTGGTTCTTAAATCCACAATAACTACCTATATCTTTGAAGTATTTTTCAAGTCTTTAAGATTTTCAGAGTCTCAAGAAACTTCAAAGGTTTCAAATCAAAAGCGTCCAGAATCTTGGAAATTTAAAAGAAATATTTTTAAATTATCTTACAGTTTATTTGAACTCAGTTTTGGTCTCACAACTTCAAAATCATACTTCTTAGAGTTTGGCAGTACATTCCTACTCAATGTTTGCATCAGGACATCAAAATTAGGACAGTCAGAGACTCTTATAGTTTGTTTGAAGTCAATTTTGAATTCACAACTTCAACATTAAGGTTCAGAGGGTCTTGAAATCTATTCCAACTCAATGTTTCTCTCAGGACTTAAGAATAAAAGACAGTCAGAGGTTCCTACAACTGCAAATTGCAAAATCAAGCTTCTTAGTCTCTCGCAGTTCATTTTAAATTAATATTTGCTTAAGAGATTTATAAGAAACAATGTCAGAGTATTTGACAGTTCATTTGAACTCAATTTTGGTTTTACCACTTCAGAATCATACTTTATAGGGCATTTCTACTTAATGTTTGCCTCAGGACTTCAAAATGATGATGGTTAGATACTCGTATAGTTCATTTGAAATCAATTTTGCCCTCACAACTTCAGCATCAAGTTTCTAGTATCTTGCAGTTTATTTTAAATTAGTGTATGCTCAAGAAACTCAAAAGAAACAATGTCAGAGTATCTGACAGTTCATTTGTATTTACTCAGTTTTGGCCCTACAACTTCAAAATCATACTTCATAAGGCTTTTCTACCTAATGTTTGCCTCAGGACTTTAAAATGATGAAGGATCAGAGACTTCTAGTTCAATTTTGACCTGACAATTCCAGCATTAGGCTTCATCATAGGGTCTTGAAGTTTATTTCAAATCAATGTTTGCTTCAGGAATTCAATAAAAAAGCAGTCAGAAGCTCTCGTAGTTCATTTTTAGTCTCACAACTTCAAAATTAGGCTTTTTAAGTATCTCGCAGTTTATTTTTATTCAATATTTGTCTATGAAATCCAGAAAAAACAATGTCAGAGTATCTGACAGTTCATTTGAACTCAGTTTTGGTCCTACAACTTCATAGGACTTTGCAGTACATTTCTACTTGATGTTTGTATCAGGAATTCGAAATCAACGCACACAAATTCTTTAGTCTTTAAAGTTGTGTTAGTCTTAAGCCTCAAGACACTTTGAAGTTTTTGAAGTCTTCACTACAACGGCTTTTTGAGTCAAACTTTTTAAAGGAAAATCTTTTAAAAAAATTATTCAGTCCTAGTTGATCAGAAAAATTCTGAATAATAATTTTCAGTTATAAGTAAAGAGTCATTTAGATCCACATAACTTAACGTAGTTACGGAAAATTAATAATAAGGAAAAGTTGAAGATCATGTACCTAAAAATTAAGAAAATTAACGTAACACACAAAAAAGTTGAACCAGATTTCAAGGAAATCCGTAAGTTAATTCAATAATAATATGTATGACGGAGCGGACAGATTGAACTAGTCTGTGATTATCAATATAATTGGTGATTACACGTAGGAAAATTAACTTCACTGTAAACACACACTTTATCAGTTTCGTACGTTAATTCTAATTTTCCGTACGTTAAGTTAAGTGGATGTAAATAATCCTTAAGTCATGATTCTCCAAGTCTTTTTAAGATATTTACAATTTTCAAAGGTTTAAATCCAGAGACCTAAAATGTTTGAAGTCTTCAAAATTATCAGAATACTTATGAGTTTTGATTCCAAAATCGACTTATACCTTTAAAGTATTCCTCAACTCAAGAAATTGTCAGTATCTCAAGAGTTTTTAGATCAAGAGCTTCATAATCTTTGATGTCTAGATTTCTAAACAGTTCCAGAATCTCTAAACCCTTGAGTCTTTTTCCATTATAACAAAATCTTAAATAACGAAACTCAAAAGTCTTGATTCTTTAAGATTTGTAACTTCCAATTTTTGGTTTTGAGCTTCCAAAATGTCAAAGAGTAACTAATTTAAAGTTAGAATTGAGAACTTTTGACATCTTTGAGATTTTCAAATTTTATTGAGACCTCTAAATTAGAGGTCTGGGGTCTTTTGTCTACAACTGTATTATAGATAAATAGGGTTCCACATCCATCTTTTGACAGTGTCCTTTTATTATCTATTAAAGATATAAAGCTGAAATTTTCAGGGATTCTTATTTTAGTAGGGGACTACAATCTCTGAAAATTTCAACCCATTTAGACTTATAGTTCCTGAGATAAAATCGTATTAAGCAATTTGGGGTGATTTATCAATTTTTCAATTTTGTTTGCCTTTTTTCATAGATTTCGGCTTCAAATCTGAGAATAATGTGTATGGAGTTTGGGGGATTCCAAATGACCATATAAGGATACAAATATTTCAACAAAAAAAAATTGAAATTTCATCGTTTTAGTAAGAATTTGGATTTTGGAAAAGTTTGAAAGGTCATAACTATTTTTCCATTAAAGATAGAAAGCTGACATTTTCAGTGATTCTTACCCCAGTAGAGGACTACAATCCCTGAAAATTTCAGCTCATATGGACTTATAGTTCCCGAAAAAAAATCGTGTTGGGGTGATTCATCAATCCTCTTTACATTGGAGCCTTCATTAAAACAAGTACAAAAGTAACAAAACAAGAAATACGCCAAACTGATTTTATCGTTCAATATTGCCACACGTAGAACAAAAAAAATCCGTTCATCAAAAATTCTAACTTTGTAAAAAGAGGGGATTAAAAAAGCCCGACGAAATTATAGTCAATTTCGTCACCGAGGCTCAGTTTATGTAATGTCGCTTGGGACATTCCCGGGCTGTTACCGAGCTTTATTAGATTATTTTAAAGTAGCTTTGATTCGAAATTCTACCAAATTATTCCATTCTCTTTTACCCGCCACCCCATACACTAGTTTATTGCTCTTGACTTTTCCGCCGAACGAAAAACGGAATTTATTATTAGAATATAACGATGATGCAGTTTGTATTCAATTTACAAGGACAGCGTTTTTCCATTTTTCTTTGCAAAAATTCAATGCGAATTTCCAATGAATAAATATCTAGTATATCTGTTTGTTGCCTTGCGGGCCTTCGCAGAAAGTTACGACTTTTCATTTGTAATGCATCGATACAAAAATACAATAGATGGACTCTGGAAAATATAGAATGGTATTTTCAGGATTTACTTTATTGGTATTTTGTTTTGTCATTTTCCTATAGTGATTGAAAAATGAAAATAACTTTGGAGAGTTATATATCTACAGGGTGTTCTAAATACATAATATGATTTGCAAAATTCTCTATTACTAATATAATCAAGAATATCAAAGCACAAAAGCCTCTATTCGTTAGTGTATAGTGTAATGCAAAAAGAGAGCGTAACTTCGTAAATTCGAGCTCTACAAACTCTAAACCGATTCCCTCTAATCCAGTGCAGTGTTGCGACACTAACAAATTCGTTTTCTCCACTCACTTATGTGTGATCAAGGCGAAAGGGCTTTTGGCAAAGGGAAACATTCCGAACACGTCAGCCCAGGACAAAATCTAGTTGATGTTTTGATTGCGAGAATTCGATATAGTCGAGGACTCGTTCCAGGATTTATTTATTGGTTTGTTTCAACAAATAACCAACAAATTGATTGAGAAATTTGATTTAAAAATTCATTGTTTATCGATTCCAGGCATTTGGAAATTGGTGTTGATAACTTTGATGTCGATATTGATGACGTAGGACGAGGTACACAATGGCAGAACTTCTACCAACAAAGTTTCAATTATTATTGAATGTCAACATTAAGAAACTTCCAATTGCGTCAAATTTCAAATTATTGCATTTTCAAGATTAAACAGCCCCATCTAAAAAAAATCATCCACCAAGCAGTCGTATTTCACGTCAAGTTGTAAAATGGTATTCGGATATAAAACCTCGTAAATCCTTGCGGTAGAAGAGAGAGGAGT